TTCTGCTCCATTTTTCCAGCTTCTCTGTAACTTCTAGTTCTCCTATTTTCTCCTTCCCAATTACCAGAGATCTTCTCTTTTTCTCTTCACCAAGTTGTCTTTTTCCATACGTCTCAATTCCACATCCTGGAGAGGCTGCATTTTACTGCTGATGGTTATCACACAATTTTTTACTTCTTTATAGATATAATTTAAAAGTAGAATTAAAAAAAAAAAAAGAAGTGAATTCAGGATAGGGGATAAATGACTTATTCTAGGATCTTTAGCTTGAGGTAAACCTTTGCTCCCTTTTTAGACAGTCACAATACCCACAACTGTGGTAGCCGTTGTGGGACCTTGACAAGTGTGATGAGCATGAAGATAAAAGCAAAATTACCTGCAAAACCCTGATTCATCCCTGAACTGCTGGCCAACTACCTCCAAGCTTCAAGCTGTGTTAGTCCCTATTTAAGTCACTAGAGTTTAATTTTTATAGTTGTGATCACATATATTCCTAGCTGATAGTTTTCTACATGTCCTTCTGTTGCAGCTTGGATCTTAAATGTCTCCCAGAGGCCTATATGCTAAAGGGCTGGCCGCTAGCCTATAGAATGAGGAGACAGTGGTGGAATTTTTAGGAGGTGTGGTCTAGTGGTAGGAAGCTAGGTAGGGGTCGCATTAGGTGAACAGTCCTACTCCGTCTACCACGTGCTCCCCACTGCCACAGGTGCACAGCAGCTGGGCAACTGACCCTAGGCTGAAGCCTCTAAAACCGTGATCCAAAGTAAACCTTTCCTTCTTCTTTTCAAGGAGGAAATACTGATTTTCTAAGGCATTTTTATCACAGTAAAATCAGCTTAACACCAGCGAGCATGAGTGAGGCCACAGCTCAGCCACACTGGACACAGTGAATCACTGTCTCCATTGTATTGTCTTGGAGACCTGTGGCATCTGACACTGAATCAACACTCTTATTTTCCCACATTCCATTTGTTATTATGAGATAAGGGTAAATGCAAGAATGTGTTACACTTTGCACAAAGATGGTAATGGGGCTGTGACTCCAGCGTGTAATGGTAGACCCAGCACCCTACAGCAACTCAGCTTGCGCAGGAACTTTTGGTCACTGCGGGGAAGGTGGCTGGGGCATCTATCAAGTGCCTTATGAGTCTGGCTGTTCACAAATCAAATGTACAGAAATAGAAGTCTGCCTTTATCCATCCTGGGGTCGGCCCCTGTATGCCAGATTTTCCTAAAAATTCCGTCTAGTCTATCTTGTGCTGCTATAATGGAATACCTGAGAAAGAGCAATTTATTTTTTCAAATAGATATATAGTTCTTCTTGTCATGGAGGTTGGGAAGTTCCAAGGTTAAGAGACCCACATCTGGCCAGGGCTTTCCCGCCATAACATCTAATGGCGGAGGATAGACCAGCAAGAGAGCATTCAAGAGAGACGGAGGCATCTGGACTCATCACTCAATTGGAAACCCACTACGATGCCAATAGCATCAATCCATTCTGGAATGCAGAGCCGCTCATGATCAATCATCTCTTAAGGTCTTATCTGTTAAGATCTAAAACTGTTTAGATCCCAAACTGTCCCCTAAAATGTCTCTTGTATTCAGAGGTGCGACTTTTGGAAAGTGATTGGGTCATGGGGGCATTTGGCTTATCAGTGGATCCACCCACCAATGAATTCATAGCTGAATGCGCTGTTGGGGAGTGGGGCATGGTTGCAACCAGGAAGGTGCTTTTCCTGGCTGCCTGGAGCGAGCAGCCTCCCTCCTCTAGGCCCTTCTACTAGGTCGGTTCTGCTTTGCAGCCAATCATCCTGGCCTAAATCCTCTGAAGCTATGAGCCAAAATAAACCTCTCCTCCTCTCAGTTGTATGTGTCAGGTGTTTTGACTCAATGATGGGAAAGAGACAGATACTTTCAGCACTATCACAGTGGGGATTGTTTCTAACACCTGGACTTCGGGGACATATTCAAGTGAGTTATTGCTGAATGACCAGCTACCACAAATTCAGAGGCCTAAAACAAAAAGCACCTACTACTGTGCAGTGCGTGAACAGCTGAAGGGCTCTGCTGGTCTCTGCCGGGCTCGCTGATTTTGGTTGGATGCTTCCTTCAGCCAACTGTGAGGTGGCTGTCAGTGTAGAGGTGGTGAGATGGTCACACATCTCACAGGTGGGCAGCTGCCAGCTCTAGTGACTGATTTGATTTAGCTGCGTGGACGGACATCCTCCAGCAGGCTGCTTGTTCACATGGCGGAGGCAGCTTTCAAGGCCAACAGCCATGCACAGAGAAGGCCTCTTAAGGCCTAGGTCTGGAGTGGCACGGTGACCCTCCTGCCACATTCTGTTGGCTGAAAAAAGTCTCAAGAGTCATTCTAGGTTCAAGAAATTCTTTTTCTTTCTTTCTTTCTTTTTTTTTTTTGGTACCGGGGATTGAACTCAGGACCTTGCGCTTGCCAAGGAAGGTACTTTTGCTGCTGAGCTATTTCCCTGGCCCAAGCGGGTGAAATATTGATAGGAAAGACTGAAAAGTCACTTTGTAAAGGGCATAAGTATAGGAAGGGTTGGGGAACAGGGCCTGTTTTTATAACCAATCCCCCATAGTTCTGGACTTTTATGTTTCACTGGGGTAGTGCCATGTCCACTGAGGAAAAAGGTGAGGAAATGCTGGATAGTAGAGAGAGGCCTGGGGTAGACAGTAGTAAAACAGACCCTGCAGTGGGGAAGGAATGAGCAGCAAAAGGGGCAAAAGAAGGCACAGGCTACATGAAAGCTCCCCTGCAATAACTACTTCTGCAGTAACTTATACTGGCTGCTTATTAACACGCCAAGCACTGTGCATACGGAATCTCACATAATCCTCAGTCGTGCCTTGAGCAAACTTCCATTATTAATCACATTTTACAGATGAGGCAACTGAGGTTCAGAGGGCATCGGGTAATTTGCAAAGAGACATACAGATGGGAAGGGCCGGATGCAAGATTCAAAGACAGGTTTTGGCATTAAACTATGCCACTGTTGTCACTAACTTGTCTCTGTCCCTACCATAGGCCTCCTGCCCAGTCTTGAACCACTGCGACATCTGATTATTCCCAGTTTTGCTCCAGGGGGTGGCCATATTTTAATATAAAGGGCCAGAAAGTAAACATTTCCCACTTTGTGCTCCATTTGATGCTTGTTTCAATTGCTCAACTCTGCTCATCTAGCATGAGAGCACAGGTAGTTATTGCAGTGCAGGCAGAGTTCCAGGGCCTGCCAGGTCTACTGAGTCAGAACTTGCTTTCTCTGCAGAGGGCCACTGGCTCTGCAGCTCCGGCTTCCAGACCCTTCTGTACTAGTACCTTCTTATGCCTCCCACCCCATCCTATGCTACGGGAGCCTCTCTTTCCTGCCCACCAACACTTCAAGCAAAACTAGAGCTTCTTTCACCTCAGCATTGGACTCACTCTTCCCCAGTCCAGTAGCCCAGCCCCTTTGCTTGCTACTTCCTGTCACTGGATTGGATCTCCGCCTGGGTGCTTCTTCTAAGCAGTCCTTCCAGAGACCCTTGTGTTGCGTAGGTGCATTTCTCCTGGTTTCATTACCTTCTCTTATCTAGGGTTGCCCACCCTATAGGGAACCCCTTCACACACTTTTTCTGAGAGTGGAGATTAAACTCAGGGGCTTCTCACTGAGCTACATGCCAGCCGCTTTTTAAAAAATTCTTTATTTTGAGATTGGGTCTCATTAAGTTATTAAGTTGTCCAAGTTGGGCTCAAATTTGCAATCGTCCTGCCCCAGCCTTCCACACTGCTGCCTTTTAAAGTATTACACCAAGCTACCTCCCTCAGTTTGTGATCTTACCAGAGAGAGGCCAAGTCTGTCCCAGGCACCCGGTGTCAGCACTGACTGCTGAAGGACAGAATCACTCGTTGAAAACTTGAATGAACTGCACCCACCAACTTCCCTCCAAGGCAGATGCTCTACATAATTACCATCCAATCAGCTTCTGAGCACAGGATTTCCTCATGCTCCACCTGGCTCCTGGGCCTTCCTACCTGATTTCGCTCCAAGATTCCATCTCCAGGTTGTTTTTCATATTACCACATTTACCATTTCCAGAGTGCCCCCAGGCTGAAGAAACTTCTAGGCAAAATTAGGCTATGAATTAGCCACAGGCCAAGACCTGAATTGTGATTGTGGAGGGGGGAATGTGTGAGGGCAGAGAGGAGAGGTAGGGCAGAAAGTTTTAAGGACAGAATCTGAAGGTGGCATCCCTGGCTGAGCGCGTACAGGACTGAAGAGTGGTATCCTCCCTTGCCTTGTACAGAGCCAGCTATGTGCCAACAAGCATCCCCAGCTTCACTTCACAGGACAGAACTTCCACAGAAGCCGTGGAGACTGATGCAAAGAACCACCAGCTGATGCATGTGCAAGCTGCCCTCCAGGAAGTTGAGCCCCTCCCCAAAGCCAAGAGTCAGTGCAGAGCTTTCTACAATTTTCTTTATTAATACAGCAAAATGTAAAAGAACAAGGTCGCCCAAATGACCCATAGGATTGAAAGTGCAAATTTACTCCAACCTGGCCGAGAAAACTATAGTAGGCCTTGCTTGACCATTTGGGTCATGGAAATTTGGTGTGATTAAAATGCCTTTTAATCACAAAATCCTAGCAGCTGAACCATATTTGATTAACTCTTTGGTCTCTGTTGTTGGAACAAAACTTTTGACTATCATCGCCAGATTGCATTATAATACAGTTTGGGTCAGAAGACACATTCAAATAACAATGAAACAGAAGGAATGTTCTAAGTCAAGTGACGGAATCAAGGCACTTTTTTTTTTAATATAAAAGGTGCTAAAATATTCATAAATATCTTATACATCAAAACCCAGATTATATATAGTTTAGCTGCACGTTGTAGTCTATTTTCTCTGTATATGTGATTGCATATTGCCGACCTCTCCCAACTGGCACTTGCGCTATCCCCACCCCATTATGTGCTATGTAGATATATATAAAAAAAACCCCACATGTCCAAGGCATAGACAAGTGATTAAAAAAAAAAAAAAAAAAACTAACAAGCACCACAATGATAACACTGAACTTGTTTTCCTCTTGAGGAACACTGGAAATGTGGATAAGGTTCACTTTCTCTATCACTGGAAAAAATCTTCATCTGAGTAGAGATGAGAAGACATCTTCACCAACATCAAAGTCACATGCGACAGCAAAGGTATCTTATTCCAGGTTGCACGAGCTGCCTCAGCGCACTTTTGGCTGCTGCCTTCTGAGTCGTAGGAAGTTGATTTTGGCGGCAGAATCTGACCAGAGCTGTGCTCTTGGCAGTAGGAGTGGGACAAGCCTAAGAGGTTTGGCTCGGAGACCCAGCTGTGTTTGTTGCTGTTCGTAGCCACCAACTATCATCAGAAAGGCACAGGCTAGACTATCATGAGCAAAAATAGCTATTAATTTTAATATACAAAATACAGCAAAACAAGTTATTCTGCAATCCTTCCTGATTACTCATCTGCAGACTCCAATGGAGCGAATGGGTTTAGCCCAAGTAACCAGGAAGGAAATGCCAAGAACAGGCCCAGGGTGGTTTCAGGGAGGCTCTGACTCCAAAAGAATGGCGCCACAATCCAGATTTCCTGGCAACTGTGAGTTCAGTGTTATCTGTGGCCATGTTTATTTCTTTTTTTTTGGGGGGGGGGTTGTCCTACAATAAAGCTTAAATCTGAGAGATAAAGAGTGGAAATATCATACCCCCAGCTATATACGGCACCACCATCTCCATAACAAAGAATAAAATCTTCCACATATTTAGCGGGTGTTAGCTGTGGAAAGCAGTTTTCACAAACTGGTAGCCCCAGACTCGACCGGACGTTTTGTCTAGTCTACATGAGGTTTTGGACATTTTAAATTTATTTGTTTAAAACTCTGTGAATTTCACTCTTTAACAAATCCTGATTTCCTGCCCCTCCTTCCCTTTTCCAGCATGGAGCTGCGTAACTGTTAACCCCTTTCAAGTTGGGGTTAGCTCCCACCACTTTCTCATCCCTTCTCTATTTACTTCTCTTCCTATTCCTGCAGACTACTGAGTTTGTGACTCCTTACTAGAAATAGCACACACTTAAAAATGAGTTTTCTAACCCAAACCTCTCTCACGTCCCCATAGAATTGCAGCTCAGCTCCCTTCTCCCCTCTCTTCCTTCTACTTCCTTCCTTCCTGAATTCCTCTCATTTCTCTGAGCTCACAGGCATTCCTTCTTTTGGTTGTAGTTTCATTTTGCAGCACTCATCTCTTCTCTGCCCAGGAGCATTCCAGGAAGGCTCCACACCGGGCAGGGGGAGCTCCAGCCCAGTGTCTCACCGCAAAATGCCTGAGTCACCGTCCCCAGAACATTTTCTTTGGCTACTGGCTAAGCAATTAAAAACGTTTTGGTACAGCCTTCTTAGATGAGAATATTTGTATACATGAATCTCCAGTACCAAGCATACACCAAAAATGTGTACATTTCAGACGAAGGGTGTGATGGAGCCCTAATAAAGTACAAAACTGAGCTTAATTTAAATGCCTTGGGCAACCATCACACTTGGCTAAAATGCTGTATTATTTCATGTGTACACAGTACATGTTTTGGCTTACTAAACATTGATCATAATTGATCGAAATCTCTTAAGTTTTGGTTACCATGTACTGAGAACAATTGCTCAACATGGCATTTAAATAAAACATTAATATTTTAAAACTTCACATATATAATGCTTATTAATTTAAAAAAATAAAATGTAAAAACCTTGAGGATGGATGAGGCTTTAGCTAACTAACCTGAAAGAAATCATACTAGAACAAAAGCGTAAGAACAATATGTTACCAGATTTATTCTTTAAAATAGTATTAAGATTCTTATAAAGGACCCTATTATCTCAGCTAGAAATATTTCAAAAATTCAGCTTTTAAAGCTTTATAATACACAAAATAAAAAATAAAGCCCTATAATCCATCCAATAGCCTCACTTCCACCCCCACCCCCAGTAGATTTAATGACTATAGGGGAAATCAGGCTGAGTATGGAAATATATATTCTACTCTTGGCATTTAAAAGCAATTTGTAAAAACACTGTGCAGTTTATATCTTTGCAGGAAGCTTGTGGATTAATCCTTTTGCTCAATGCAGTACCATACGATAAAACATTGGCCTCAAAAGCTGGGAATGAACTTTAAGATATCGAGGGGAATGGTCCCCAGCACAACCTCACATCTGCAGCTGTTTTTCCTTCAGTCCACGGTTGCCAGATATAAAAAGCCTATGCAGCTCTAATGACAAAGATTCCCTGTAAATCATCTATTCACGATAATTTCCCACAGAGGCCAAGGGGGTCCCCTAAAGAAAGGAGGTTTATAGAAGTCCCTCAAAATAGCTCAGAAATGAAACAAAAGACCTATTCATGTAACTACTTCTATCTTCCAACTTTTGCTTTTAAGAGTCTAAGGAAGCACATGTCTTTGTTTTTCTTTTTTCAAATCCCCAAGTAAGTGTAATGCTGAGACTGGCTGCACGTTCAGCCAGCCAAGCACATGGTGGGTCGCTCTAACCTTGATTGCAAGCAAATGGGCTCTTCCTGGCTGCAACATAACATCCTAGCGGTGGTCCTTCTGGCCCGTCCCTCCGAGATGACTTTTCTCAAAGGCTGTTTCTCTGGCTCTTCCTCGAACTCATTTTCTCTGCTCTATCTCCTCTGCCCACTGACTAGGAGTAACAGATGTCCAAACAGAGATCCCAAGCTACCAAACAATATCTTTTGTAAGACATCGGCTAATTCAAGAGCCCCTCAAGCTGGCCCGGTGGGACACGGGCTGCCTGGCAAATGAGAAGTACCTTCCAACCACAAACCATCGCCGTGCACCAGGAACACTAACATACCGGTAACCGAGAAGACTGTTCATTTCCTTCCCATGAGGTCCTTGAACTAAAACAAAACAAAACAACCTTTGCAAAGGAGTTTGCTAAAAAGCCCTAGAGCCAAAAAAGGTTTCTGTGTCCAGCCAGCAGCAAGCCTTTGCCAGACATCTTAATAGGCAAACACTGAGCTATGTCTTTTTCAAGCCCCAACATGTTTGATGGCCTCACCAGCTTTGTTTTAATTACAGATTTTGGTGCTACCTTGCACCGTGTCTGGCTCATAGTAGGCCCTCAATGAATGACTTCTGACTCCCTGGGACGCAACCCTGCTTGTGGCCTGGGGGGAGGGTAAGAGAACACGTTGGATACTTTTTGAAACTGCACATGACTTCCTAATACATATTTTTGGCCCCCCTTTCATATGCAGTATAACAATCACCACAAAATAAGAGAACTGATCAACATAAAGTGCGATTTGTGCTGAAAATCTTCCCAACCAACTCTTGATTGTCTCTCAATACATGTGACTTATTGACAATCCTATCAGACACCTGTGATTACACCATTTAAGTACATTAATATTAATGTGAATATTCCACAGAATATTAACTGCAGAACATACCTTCAATTACAGTTGTGGATTTAGATTAGAAAGAAAAGAAGACTTGGGAACCTAGTACCTAGCAAATAGGTATGTCAAAAGTACTCCTGTATATAAACGTTGGGACAGAGAGATCTATGTCAAAAACCAGTAAAAGGATCTTTCTGTTCAAATGGTCATGCTTAGTTTGCTGATTTCCCTAAGAGCTGGATCTTTCTACCAAATTCTTCACATATCACTATGTGGACCTACTCTCAGTAGCTGTGGTTGTGTTTCATTCCCTGGTTTACCCAGAACATAAGTGGGTGTGAAGAAGATGTAGTTACTTGGGTTGGGTTGTGGTTTATGCAGCCAGGGAATGACATTTATGCCATTAAAGCCTCTGGCATCCCCCAGCTTGTTCACCATCTCTGGCAGCCCACCTGAGGCATTCAACCCCTCCAACACTCCACTCCTAACCAGTGGGAAAGGCTTTAGGAGCATTCAGGCAGGTGAGGGAGCTGTCTGTCTATGGTTCATGTTCAGGGAACCCTTGATTGCGCTGACTCCAGGGTGGAGGACACCTGGCAAGATAGCGGGGACCCCCATAGGCCCGGAGAAGCTGGGGCAGCCTTCTCCAAGTGGACAGCAACCTTGCTGCAACTAGCTCTCGGGCATGCATGTCGAAAGCAGCCAGGAGGTCTACTGGGGCAGCTTCTCGAAGTACCTTGGGCAGAGGGCCCACCTCAGAGGCTGCCCTACCAGGGCCCAGAATGCAGTGGAAGAGCGTCTGGCGTCCCAGCAGGCAGGCCTTGAGGAACTGCACCAACTCCTCCAAGCATTCACTCAAATATGCCTCATTCCAGCCTTGCCCTGGAGACCCCTTGCGAAGCAACATTGTCAGCAGCACCGTCTTGAGCACATAAGAAGATAGGATGTGTCCCCACTGGGTGGCAGCCATCGGGTCCAGCCCACGGGCACCCAGATCACGCAGAGCTTTCAGCAACTGCAGGCACTTGAGGTAGCAGGCACCTGGACTGGCCCGTTCCTGAAGCCAACTCAGCAGCTTCTGTTCCTGGCGGGCTGTGTTCACACCCCACAGTGCCTCTGAGCGTAGGCCTCCTGGGAGCTCCGAGTGGGACCCACTAGGGGAGGGTGGCGGGGGTGGTGCCACAAGGAAGATGCTGTCCCCGAGATGGACCGCAGGGATGAGACGCACAGCCATGGAAAGGCGGCAGCAGCCGTAATCTGTACGGCATGGCAGGATGTGTAGGATAGGAGGCTGCTCCAGGCCGCCAGGGGTCAGGCTGACCCGACAGCACTCTTCCAGTTTGTAGCGTACGGTGGCCAGGGAGCGCTGCAGGTGCGACTGGAACCAGCGCAGCACCAAAGTGGCAGAGAGGTGGCGCTGGCCACGTACATCCACACAGAAGCTGTCCGCAAAGGGTTTGCAGTTCCGGAGCCAATGGCCCCCAGACGTTCCTGATGTTGATGTCGAGGGTGGCGCCTTAACGGCGCACACGAAGCAGCTGCGGAAGGCGGGGTCCAGAGCGGGCTCTGCGCCCAGGCTGCGTGGCTCCAGCACCACCAACTGCGGCAGGCGCAGAGGCACCAGCACGTCGAAGCTGTCGGGCCGGCGGATCTTGTGCTGCTCGTAGGCGCTGCCCACCTGGATGAAGTCCCCGCGGAAAGCCAAGGCCAACGCTCCCCCGGATATGGGGCTGGGGGACCCCCGGATACAGCCAGCCCGCACCAGCTCGCCCACGATCCGGCTCACGTGCGCTTTGCTGTGGCCCAGCACGTGTGGCGACAGGCGCACCTCGTGCTCGTAGTAACTCTCCAGCAAGATGCTAAGGCCCGGTTCCGGGAGGTGTCTAGTGGGGGAGGCGTAGTGGCCCACCACGCGGGAAGAGACAGGCAGAAAGCGCTGCCGGATAGCGTGGCGACAGCGCAGAAGGGCATAGCCTAGCAGGAGCAGGATGGCCACTTTGAGCAGCGGGAAGCCGCCGTCCGCACCATCGGGGGACTCGGTCCTGGCGGCGCTGTCTCCTCGCAGGACGTGGTAGAGGCACACGAGGGCGGTGCACAGGCCGGTTACCAAGGGCCAGAAGACGCGCAGGTTGAGGGTGTACTGCACCGACATCCCGGCTGCCCGGGACCGCGGTGGCGGACCAGCCCAGGGCGCGAGCCCGGGCGGCGATCCGGGTCCGGCATGCGCGCAGCGCCCGGGCGG